AAATTTACATGGATTGTGTGTTCAATTTATTTATAGATATTTAATTTTGAATAGGTAAATAAATAAAAATATTGGAATATGTATACCTATTAGGTCGGGCCATAATTAGTCTCGCTTTTTAATTTGGATTTTTTTGATTTTTAAAATTAAGTTTTTAGAAAATATTTTTTATTTTTATTACGAATTATCAGTTGGCAGCATTTAGTTAGGTAAATTTTTAGTTAGGTATTCAGGGAGTTCTGGTCGAAAATATCAAAATTCCCGAAATCATCGGGAATCAAAAATCAATATGTAAGTATAATAGTTAGTGTAATATATCATTCGAAAGCTATTCATAAGCTCTATCAGTCGGGCACAATTTCGAATTTATATTAAAAATGGTCGAAATTCGTATTCCGGGTTAGACACGATTTACAGACTTTATATTTCGGATCTAATATAAATCCTCTATGGGCCCCATTGACTAGATCATTAAGGTTTTTTGTTTTTTATGTACATTTTTGGTAATTTATAATTTATGGTGTAAATGCTTGTGAATTTCACTACGAGGTAGCGAAGTTCAAAAAATCATAACTTTATGAATATCACCCAGTAGCTAAACGTGATTGAAGAATGAATTCAAATCTTTATGTTGGTTAATAAGAAAAAACACTAGTTTTAAAATAACACACTTAAAAATTTAACCGAAAAAAGCGACACTATTTATGACCCAACCTAATAAAATAAATATTTATTAGGAATATGAAAATTAATTTTCGTCGTTATTTATTTATGGTGTCCATTCTTTTGTTTGTCCAATTATTCATTATTTTGGAAACAATTTTCTTTGTACTTCCATATACTAATGGAGGTATTAAATATTTTGATAATTTCAACAAAACATGGCCGTTTATGCAATATAAAATGGAAACGGTGATATTTTAAAATTAAATTTACTTTTTTAAATTAAAAACAAAAAAAAAGATGAATGTTTTGGCACTATTACCCACAGCTTTAATTGAAATATTAGCATATTTAATAATATTTGTTTGTGGATTTAAAATGGTTAGATATGTCAATTTAAACACTAATCTTGATGGAAATTTAAAAAAATTGAATAAACTTTTAACAAAAGTTTTGATTATTTTGGTATGATTTATTTTTAAAATTTTCATAATTTATAAATCATTGGTAGGAAAATAAACTATTAATGATTAGCGGTGTATGTAAGTTTTAGGCAAGAGATTTCTCAAAATAGGTGAAAGTACAAACGAAAAAATTCAAAATTAGGCAAAAAATATCTATTTATGGGAGTAAAAATATTTTAAAAATTATTCAATACTGCGATCTAATGATCCATCGATATCATACCAAATCTTATAATCCTTCGACAACTTTATATATTTACAAAAAAATTACAACCCAAATTATTCACTATACATATTTGAATACTAAAAAAAGTAAAAGAGAAAGATGGCTAAAATATAATGATTTATATGTATTTTTAGGCTATTGTGCCAGTTATCAGCCAAGCTGGAATTTTATTTTTTACAATTTCTTCAAAAACAACCAACAATACAACAAATATTATTCGAATATTAATTTGCATTTTCTATCATTTAACACCTGTATTTAACCCAATTATTTGTATTTTAACAAACACTCCATATCGAAATGCTATTTTTAATCGTTCACAAGTAAATCCACAATAATTGAATAATGGACATTACTTTTTTGTTTAATTTTGAACATATTGAATACTCTATTTTTATGTTTTGTTTATTTTTAAATAATGTTGTTTTTACTATTCCTCTAAAAACATACATTCTAAACTCAAACCCTATTCCCTTAAAACATTTCTTGTCTAAAATACTCATTTGTCAAACTTTAAATAACTTATACAACTAGGTATCTTCCACCCTTTTAATGTCATATAGGTAAATATTTGTTACTTTTTCATTAATTTTTACATTCAATTAGACTAAATCTAAACTATGTATATTATTGTAAATAAAATTATTATTAAACTTGTGTTTGTATTTGAGTAAACTAGTATGTTAAAATTAATTAAAAGAAACCTTAACTATAAGTTGAGAGAAATATTAGTTAACTAGTTTAAATTGAAACAGGGAGATATATTACTTCTGTTTCGTTAGGTGTCGCATTGAATCACTCCTTGTGTAAGACGCCGACGCAACATTGCCGTAATTTAGGAGTAATCAAAGTCAGAACTGACCAGAATCAGTCAGAACTGATAAATATAACTTCCGACAGAATACAAATATATTCATATCAAACGAGTTGCCAAATAAAAGATCTCGTTCTCAAAAAATAATGGGCATCCTCTAATGTATTAAATTTTATCATTAGGTAATATTTATTAATACGCTAAATTGTGCATGCTGATTTTGGGATTTTGGAAAATGTAAGAAAATTTAAAGAATAACCTAATAAGCGGTATAAAATAAGAATTTTGTAATAATAAAAAATTTTTTATTAGAAACTAAAATTAAATAGTGAATTTAAATAAATTAAAATTTGCGGCATAACATAAAAAATATTAAATTAAATTTTTCGAATCATTTAATAATATTTTAATTAATTAAATTAAATAGATGGGCATCCATTACTAATTAATTTATGCCATTTTTTAGCATATTTTTGTTCAAAAATAATATTCTCTCCATCAATTTCGAATTGTTGAACACACCCAAAAAGTGAACGAATACCCAATGATAAAGATTTTGCTGCTAAAAAATTTTTTTTAAATTATTATCTAAAAATAATTTTTTTAAAGAAATCTAAAAATTTTATTTAAATTTAATATTAATGCTAAAATTTAAGTTTTCTTTAATCGAAAAAATATATTTATGGATAGGAGAACACTAAATCCCGCCAAAATAAAAATATTTACTAACTAGAAACCAAAAACTTTTTTTTAATTCGACTAACAGAAAAATTAGGAATCGGAAAGTGATTAAGGCTCGAGTCCGTTTCCAGTCCCTTGTTCGGTATATATAGAACAAAAAATGTGGTTCCAGATCAGGGCTGCACGCAAGTGAAAAAAATTCCGCAACTCGCAATCCCCCCTGTTCCAGAACCTCCCCGCTCGTTTCAATTTTCTTTTCCCGATCCAAAATTTTTTTTCAGAATCCTTGTTTGTAGTTTAACATTTTTAAAATAATTTTTAAAAAAATTCTCCAAGCTTCTAAAATTTCATTTTGTTTTTTAACTATTCTCTTTTATTATTTACCATTAGTTCCACCAACATAAACTGGCAAAGAACGTAACTGAGTAATTAAAGATAATGGAAGACGTTGCTCTCCAAATTTAATTATTTGGTCATTTAATTCAATTTTTATCCCCTTTGTCGATAAAAATAAGCGAAAATGATGCCATTCCCCTGGGCAGATTAAAAATGAAATCTCCATAGCACTGGGTATTTATTCCCCTTAATCCCTCGATATTTCCTTTCAAAATTTTAGGTCTTCAAGGTCAATATGTCTTCAAGGTGTAGGCTTTAGTATTGACCCCGCTCTTATAATCGTAGTCAATATTTACATTATATTAACTTTAAAAATTCTGTAGGAGGGCAAGCACGTTATTTAATTTCACTTGTTCAAGTAGGAATGAAAGACTCAGATTATTCTTTGAAAGCTAAATTTAATCTTTATATATTGGATGATAAGGAAAATAAATGGAAATCAATTTGCGGGTATGCATGTTAATTTTTAATTTATAAAATTTTAATTTATGTCGTAACCTGTTAAAATGTCCATTACTTGAAAAGTTCCTTTTTTTTAGATAAAATTTTAAAAATTGAATAAAAAATTCTAAAATAAGGAGAAAGTGGCAAATGTACGTTTGGCTCCCTAAATTGTACAAAAAATTTAAACAATTTATGGGCCTTATTCCATTGATCGGAAACTTTATATCAAGCTAACTTATCTAAAATTTTAGAAATGCTATATTCAATTTTAAAAATCAATTCGAATCAAATAAATATGAATTTAACAAACAAACAGCAACTGATTGTATGTTAATTAGTAAAGTTTAAATAATTTTGGGTTTTAGTTCACTTAACGATTTTTTGTGATGTTGAATTTGTGCCTTATAAATTAGAATTGGAAAATGAATTTGATGATTTTTCGACACCGAAAAATTCATTTATAGATATTTTTAATAAAGGAATATTTACAGACTGTGTTTTTGAGATAAGTTTTTTAAAATTATTTCTTAATTTGTCATTACATAAACTGTTGGCCGTTAGGGACAAAAAGTTTTTTCTGATAACCTGAAAGAAGGGATTTTTTAAATTTTGAGAAACTTTAATTGTTCTGGAATGGAATCCGTTTAGATTTTTGGAATGCTTCTGATAAGGAGAAGGTGAAAATTAGTGTTCCGCCGGAACCGCAAATTTGGCCGGAACCGGAACCAAAAAATCCTGGAACTTCCGACCTACCGGAACCGGAACTTCCGGCGGAACACTAGTGGAAAGGCTAAAGGGCAGAAATCGTTTTCCCGGCCCACCTTTGTCCGAGTCCGTCATCGAAACTACAATCCTCTGATATCTGACCATTTTTTCATTTTTAATACCCGGACTGAGTTTAGAAATTTTCACATAAAATATAATAAATTTTTTCTAAATTGGAGATGAAAAAATAAATGCACATAAATGTATTTTGGCTAACTACAGTATTGTATTTCAAACAATGTTTGAACAAAAAAATATGGAAGAAGCACAAAATGTAAATAAAATAGATTTTAGTCCATCTTTATTTTTAGATAGCCCCAAATACTCGATACTTTTCAATTAAGGATAGTAAATATGTTTAGAAATTCAGTTGATCATTAGTTGGTGAAGAACAATTTTAGCTTTATCCCTAATTTAAAATAACTTCATTATAAACGCCAAAGGGGTGTCTAAAAGTGAAGAGTTGAATGTACCTAATTCAACTTTAAAATAAAATTTTAAGGGTAAAATAAAAATTGTTGATTCTTCTCCAGAATGTTTTAAAGCAATGCTGGAATATTTTTATAGTGGAGAAATTGATAAAAGTATTTTTTTAAAATAATTTTTTAAAAATTAAATTTTTAAAGAAACAATTGAAAAATATTCGGAAGATTTATTTTCTATTGCACATAAATACGAAGTAAAAAAATTAATGGAAATTTGTGAAAATTATATGGCTGCAAATATTGGTAGAAAAAAAATAATTTTAAATTTTATCCTTAATTTTTTAAAAAAAGATGCTGAGAACTTTAATGAGCGATGCAATTATTCTGAAATTTATTGTCTTCCAAAGCTTGAAAAGGTTAAACCTTTATTTCCTCCAAAATTCCTCCTACAGTACAAACTTAAACAAAGCAATAATCTCGATAATGATATATTATGTGCGGACATAATTAGTGGCCGTTTTATTAGATTAAATTTTTAAGGGGGTTGTTTTACAAATATTCTTTTTTCTTTTTAATCAAAATAAATATCAGAATCTACTCTTCATTTTAATACCACGTTTAGTTATATATGGGTGGTATTCTTAAAGGTATGATTTTTTGAACTTCACTACCTCGTAGTGAAATTCACAAGCATTTACGCCATAAATTTTAAATTACCAAAAATGCAACAAAAGAATCAAATAATCTTAATGATCTAGTCAATGGCGTTGTTGTCTATTCTAGACAGCAAAGAATATGGCTAAGGCTTTATGAGTAAGGCCATATAACTCTCAAAAGCAAACATGGTCGAGGGAGACGACTGTCATTAAGAATAACGGTCCTGCTCGGCCGGTTTAGATGAAATCCCCCCCCCCCCCCGTTTAGATGAAATGTGAAAAAAATTTTTTTATTCAACCATTTTAAATTAAATATTTTGTATATCAAATAAATTTTTAACTATATTTTAGGCCTGTATTAATTTTTTCGCTGCTAATAAAGAAACATTTATGCTCAACGAAGAATGGAATAAATTAAAAATTAACAACAAAGATTTAGCCATTCGTTTATTAGAAGAAAAACAAATTTTGGGGGAAAAAATTGGTAAAAGAAATAATTTAAGCGAATTTAATAATAATTAAGGTTAGGGTTGCCGTTTTCGATTCGAGCCGACGTTCGGTGCGTTTTTTCGAGCTTAGTTTTTTGATTCGGTTCTTTTTTGAGTTTTTCGAGCTGAAAATGCTCAGCTCGCTCGATCTTCCGAGTTTCGGTTCGAGCGAGCTGGCAACCCTAATTAAGGTGAATATAATAAAATTTGAATTAATTTTAATTTTTAATTTTGAGGAAAATTAAATAATTGAGAGTCTTTTAAATAATTTAGAGCTAGACAGAACACAAATAAAATAATATTAAATAATAATTTTTAGTAAACAATGTATCCAAAACTGAAAATGGAAGTGGATAAGAAGTATTTAATATACATACTGACATATATTCAAAATTATATTATTTCTTAGTTTTTCTGCTGTTTTCGATTATTCACTGTCTATTTTTTAACAAATTTTAAAAAAATAAATTTTTTTGTTAAGTGGAATTTAACTTTGATGTAACTTTGTTTGAGAGTATGTTTTCAGAACTGGGAAATGTGTCTAATATTTTCCTTTATTTTTTCCTTATTAAACACTTCAAAAAATTCTTTTAACCCCTATAGTAAATCCTTTGGAGTCTTCTTATCTAGGAATTTTAGGCGATGATAACTCAATTTCGATTTTAGTAATATTCAGAATTGGTAACGGACACGAATTTTGCTATCCGGATATATCCGCGGATATCCGGATATTATCCGTATCCATCAGGGATGTCACGGGTTACCCGAAACCCGAAACCCGGCCTTTTTTTCGACCCGATACCCGAAACCCGATCCGAGAAATTTTCTAAAACCCGACCCGAAACCCGACCCGAGAATTTTTATTTTTCAAAACCCGACCCGATACCCGACCCGAGTTTTCTCAAAATTTTCGCCCGCTTTGCAGAAAAAGGGAAGATTTTTAGCTTAATGATCTTCCAAAATTCTGAAAATTTTCGCCTGCGGCGCTGAAAAAGGAAGAAATCTGGCTTCGGACCTTCAAGAATTCTCAAAATTTTCGCCTGCGGCGCTGAGAAGGGAAGATTTTTGGCTTTTTGGCCTCCCAAAATTCTCAAAATTTTGGCTTTTTTTCGACCCGAAACCCGAAACCCGATCCGAAGAAAATTTTGAAAACCCGATCCGAAACCCGACCCGACTTTTTGCTCAACCCGAAACCCGATCCGAGAAAAATTTTGGAAACCCGACCCGAAACCCGACCCGACATTTTTCTCAACCCGTGACATCCCTGGTATCCATTACCAAGCCTGATAATATTTGTATAGTATTCATTTCCTTAATTTGTTGATTCATGTTTCTAATAAATATTTGAGTATGGAGAGTATCCTTCATCGTGTTTTTAAAGAATCGAGATATAAAAAACATTGAATGAAAAATATCTAGGATTTTTAAAATTTATTGTGGATTTACTTGTGAACGATTAAAAATAGCATTTCGATATGGGGTGTTTGTTAAAATACAAATAATTGGGTTAAATAAAGGTGTTAAATGAAAATTAATTAAAATAAATATTCGAATAATATTTGTTATATTGTTCGTTTCTGTAAAAGTCATAATAAATATAACTCCAGCTTGGTTAACAAATGGCACAATAGCCTAAAAGGTTGTATTAAGGAAAATTAGAGAGGTTTTAAATCCTACCAAAATAATCAAAACTTTTGTTAAAAGTTTATTCAATCTTTTTAAATTTCCATCAAGATTAGTGTTTAAATTGACATATCTAACCATTTTGAATCCACAAACAAATATTATTAAATATGCAGATATTTCAATTAAAACTGTAGGTAATTTTGACCAAACATTTACCTTTTTTGTTTATACATAATTTAAAAAATGAATTTAATTTAAAATTAACCGTTTCCATTTTAAATTGAATAAACGGCCATGTTTTGTTGAAATTATCAAAATATTTAATACCTCCATATGAAAATGGGGTAATAAAGAAATACATATCCAAAATATAAATTAATGTTACAAATAAAGATATGGACAGCATAAATAGATAACGACGAAAATTAATTTTCTTATTCCTTAATATATTCATTTTAGGAGAGATTATTTTTAGTCATTTACCTATTCAAAACTAAATATCTATAAATAAATTGGACACACAATCCATGTGTATTTAAGACACCAATATATATCCAAAGTGTTATAACAATATAACATATAAATGGATTATAATCTTCCTTCATTAAACTAATCAAAATTCCATTTGGGATAATATGAATTGTATTCCCTTCTGCATCAAGTATATAATACTATAAATAATATAAAAATGGGCATTAAATAGGGTTACGCGATATCACAATTCAAGAATAGTAAACAAATCCTGATACCGAATCTAATTCAGAATTGAACAAGATGGGGTAATTCCAAGGCTGGCCCCCCTTTTATTCTTTCTTAAGAATGTACATAATGGTCAATTAATAAGTCTGTGTATTACCGACCAATATTTCTTGTCTTGATAACATATAACCCTAATATATTTTTTTGCGAATGTTTTTAAAACAAAATTTTCTTCTAGAATTATTCGAATATACATATTTCTTAAGATCTTAATGTTTTTTGTTTAATTTCTATAATTCTAATTTTTTATGTTTCTGACCGCTTGAATAAACATTTGAACAGTCAACATTAAAATATCTAAAACACAATTTTGTATCAGAATTCGACTGTGTGTTTTCATTTCTTTTGGTGTTTTAAAAATAATTAAAACAATCAGAAGAATATTTAAAGGAAAACCAATTAATAAACAAACAAAATAATCTAATTTAAATAAAATATCAAGTATATCCAAGGACATTTTTTGGATTTTTCAGTAGAGAATTTCAATCTAAATTTTTAAATATTTATTTAAATGTTGAGTTTCTTTTCTTTAAATTTCAATTAAAAATTAGCGAGTGTCTCAACTTTTTACCTCGAGAAAAACTTAATTTAAAAATTCTGTATAATTTTTAAATAATGTTTATCTTATTCTTTTAATTTACAGGTGAAAATTGTTTAATTTTATATTAAAATATGGCAAAAAATTTTTTAATGACATTTTTTGAAGTAAACAAAGTGCCAACATTATACCATAAACACATAATTTATTAACGCCTCTGCTTTTGTCGTCTTTCGCTATGAGTTCAATTGTTGTTAAGAAAAACGAAGTAATTAATGATTAGAGGTGTCATTTTAGGTTTTTACCTATTTTTTTGCAAGCAGCCCATGATGAGATAAGTCGAAAAAACACTGTTTTAGCGCAGGAGGTTGCGTACTTTTTGAGTTACTAGAGCCTAAAAAACCTATTTCGGCCTTTTCGGACCTAAAACCTATTTTGAGCCTATTTCGACCTTTTTTGGACCTATTTTAGGTTTTTGAATATTTTTCTTAAATTTTGACTATTTTCAATCAATTTTTTGTAAATTTTATCGTCCGAACATCCAAAAATCTAAAAATTTTCGCCTGCGGCGCTAATAAAATGAATTTTTTGCTATAAAATCACTAAACTTTTGCCCAGGGAGGCCAGTATTCTGGTATATCTACATGCACTACACCATTCTACGTCTTTATTCGCTCGAAATCCAAATTAATCGCTCTCCCCGTTACCTATTCAAATCCCTTACCCCCACAAATCCCTATCCCATCCAACTTCACCGATTTGACTCGGTCTAGGGTCAAAATTTGCCCCTCGACCTCAATCTCGGCTTTTCCAGCCTCGGTGATCCTCGGCCTCGGAAAGTTTTAATTTTAGCCAAAAGTCGAACCTATTTAATCAAAATTTGGACCTATTTTGGCCTTTTTTTTATATTTTTGAACCTATTTTTAACTTTTTTTGGACCTAAATAGGATCCTATTTCCCGATTTTTTGGACCTAAAATGACACACTCTATTAATGATGTTGATAAACAGATTATGTTTCTTTCAGCTTAGTGACAGCTAGGGACACAAAGGACGTTTTTTGAGCTTACATTAGAGAATTTCCCTCTAAATTTTTAAATATTTATTTAAACTGAAAAAGCGTCTAATATCAACATTTTCACCTTTAAATATTTAAATTCAGAGAATAAATAAATTTAATATATAATTATTAGACAAAGAAAATTAATTATACGTTAAGTTCCTTTTCTTTTGTTTACTTTAAATTTTAATTGAAAATTAGTGAAAATGCCTTAATTTTTTACCTTAACTTTTTACCTCGAGAAAAATTAAATTAAAAATTCTGTATAATTTTTAAATAATGTTTATCTTATTCTTTTAATTTACAGGTGAAAATTGTTTAATTTTATATTAAAATATGGCAAAAAATTTTTTAATGACACTTTTTGATATAAACAAAAGTGCCAATATTATATCATAAACACATAATTTATT